GGTTCACCCTGCATTAATCCAAACTACTGTCACTAATGAGTAATGATCTCTTAAGTGGTTGAGTTTTTTCTTTAAGCTCTTACTGGACTTTGGACTGTTTATCATGATGGTGTGTTACAAAAATTTGTCAGCCCCCACCACCACCAAGAAAAAAAGAAAAAAGTTTGACTCAAGTGTTTTTCTAGGTGTTTCACTGCAGAGATGGGCAAAAAAACTGTTAATTGAGTCTGACTTTGAAAAGATTTTGGTAATGAGGTTAACTTATTTGTCCATTAAAGGAGCTCTCTGATTGGCTGCCTGCTGATGCACGAGGGGGAGATGTTCTCACCTGTTCAGATATTGACCTTTTGTTTTTATTTTCTTCGCCCACTTTTTCTTCAGTCTCCATACTTTTCTCTCCCTTATTCTTTCAGCCTTATCTTTTGTTTATCCTTGGCTCAAGCCTCTTCTCCTGCCTCAAACCTGAATCCAGGATCCTTTCATTGAGAGTCAGCAGTCTTAGCCATCTCACCACAGGACTGCCTCATAGTGATTGATTTTTTTTGGACTTTTCATTCCACCATTTGATTATCTTATTTAAAAGCACTTTTCAAACAACATTTTAGTAAGAGGCTTCTTTTGTGCCTGACATGGAGCATCCTGGATTTGAGCCAAGGATATTTCGTTAATGCAGGGACCTTTGTTTAATGAAGATATGTCAACAACTGTTCTGGTACTGTGACTGTTGTATATTTTCTGTATTTTGTTGTTTAAAAAAATAAATAAAAACAGTAAATATTAAAAAAAGGCAGGGACCTTTGCCACTACACCACAGGTGAGCCTGATCTTGTTTGTTTCCAGCAGCCTTCACCAATCAACGACAAGTTTGCCTGGTAGATGCTTGCTTTTGCAGGTATCACCTTTTCTTTTGAACTGTAGAAGTTGAAACCACAGCTCAAACTTCAGGTAAAGAAAGCAATTGTTCCTGGCTGACACAAAATGTCACTATTCTGGATCTGAATCTTTCATGGGAGGCAGCAGTATTCACCATGACATTACAGGTGAGCCTAGCAGTGATTGATTATTAGGTGCTTTTGATTTTGATTTTCTTCCTGAAAAGGTAAAAAAATAAATAAATCTCATCTTAACATTGAGGTGAGTACGGTATTTTATTTCTGCATCACATGAAGTGCTTTGAAATGCTTTAGTCCTGGCTTTGAACCCAGAATTGATTCATTAAGAGGCAGTCTTCACTATTATACACAACAGGTTCTGCTGGCAGTGCTTGATTTTTTAGGGTGCTATTTACTTAAACTCTCTGATTGGAAAACAAAGATGTAAAAACAGCTTCTTTTTCTATTGGCGAACAAGGTGTGCCTTTGTCTCGGTCTTGAAAGAAGGATCCTTTCACGAAGAGGCAGCAACCTTCACTACTTTGCTACATGCTAGCCTGTCAGTGCTTACTTTTTAAAGTCCTGATTCCTAGTATTTCTTGACAGTGGATGTTGAAAACCATGGTATTAACTCTAAGTGCTCACATAAAAGCTAAGAACCCATTTCCCATGAGGCATCAGCACTAACCCACCACTCTAAGGCGCTGCTTTACATTTGTTCAGGTTTATCTCTTTTCCATTACAGTGTGATGATTCAAAAGCAAAGGACAGATCTGAATGAGTCAATGATTTGAAACCAAGACCTATGTGTTGTAAGCCATCAGTGTTACCATCACACTAAGACACCACCAAGCACTGCTATTGTCCATGTAGGTGTATTTAAGTAGATTAGATCTACCAGAATGAATCTCATGATTTAAAGTATCTTTTTGGAGACTTAAAGGGATATTCCAGCGTAAATTAGGTTAGGGTCAAACACATTGTAACATCGAGTTAAACACCCCCTCGAGAGATGAATGTTGCAGACCGTTTGCTTCTCTAGTTATACCAACTTTAGTAACGACCGAACGATAGCAATACACAGCGGTCTATGGATCCACATCCAAAAACCTTAACCAAAAAGCCACTTTATAGCCACAAATAATGCTCAGAACAGCACCTCACTTCATCAACAGTACATATAGGGTCCCAGCCATAGTACTAGCCACCAAACATCTTTTTAACTTTGCCTGATTTAACAAAGGGACTAAACACAACTCACCCACTCTCTTCCACCAGCCGCTTGTTTGTAGGAAGAACTCGGACAAGTCTATCACTGACTGCAGCAGGGTGATGCAACTCAAGGAAGAACATTTATGATCATTACTTTGTCATTTCCTTGAAGTAATAATCATCATATTAATCATTTTGCACTGCAGACATGGTAGTTCTTCTGCCTTAGCGTCTCTGACTGATTGCATTTCCATGAAGAAATGATCATAAACGTTCTTCCTTGAGCTGTGTCACCCCCTGGCAGTCCATAATGGACTCGTCCGAGGTCTTGCTACAAACAAGTGACTGCTGGAGGAGAGTAGGTGAGTTGTGGCCATTGTGTAGACCGCTGTGTATTTCTATCCTGCTATCCTATTGTATAACTTTAGAGAGGCAAGCGGTCGGCATCATTCATCTCTCAAGGGGGTGTCTAACTCGGTGTTATGGTGTGTTTGACCCTAACTTAATTTTACACCAGAATATCCCTTTAATAACCAACATCAGTGAAATGCAAACAAAATATATAAGAACATAAGTGTGAATAAAGTGGAGATACAGTAATCTCAGTGCAAACATCATTTAGAGAAACTTCTCCAATGGGTTTAGCTGAGTTGAACCAGCACTGAAACTTTTTCATTTTGTTTTCATTTTACATTGTACTGCTTTGTAACACTGCACCTCTTTACCTAATGTAACATGAACATGCTTTATTGTGAATGCTTTTGTTTTGTCATATCTAGGAACCTTTGACTATCGCTAGTGAAGGGCTTTCACATGTCAGGAGAATATTTCTCAATCTGGTGTTGAGTTATCGCCAGCAGAAAAGGAAGAACAGAATAACAGTGTAGGGTTCCTCTTCTTTAAAAAGCTGTGCAGTGGTGTTCGTTTGAAGGAGGTTGGGGTGGAGGTGACCAGTGCCTTTGCTGAGATTTCTTTCCAGTTAAGAGTGTTTCCTTGCTCCCTTTTTCTCCCCCACATACACACAGGAGTGGACACACACACACACACACACACACACACACACACACACACACACACACACACACACACACACACACACACACTTCCTCCATAATTGATGTGGGAGATGAGGCTCCCCAGGGGTCATCTGCTCTCTCTTCATCCCTCCTATTTTCCCCAGCTGTTCTTGGCTGTCTCCTGCTCACCTTCCTTTCTCCTTCCTCTTCCTCCTCTTCTTTCTTTCCCCTCTTTTCTTTTCACCTCTCCCCCGCCTTTCATCTTGTCCCTCCATTTACATGCCTGCTGGCCCTCATCCATTTAATGTTTCTGACGGCGCCAGGGGTTACCAGTTTGGCTCCAGCACAGCACTCTTAGTGCGACGCCTTTCTTTTTTAACCTCCTCTCTGTTCACCCTCTTCCTGTGTCAGCCTACATCTACATCTCACCTCTCTCTCACACACACACACACACACGCAAACATACACACACACAAACACACACACATACCTTGAGCTTCCTCTCTTTCTCTTTCTAGCTTCACCCCCTCAGAGGCTTTTATCACACCCTACCTGGGTCCCTTTCCAGATGTTAAGTGTCTCCCTGGCTGGTGGAGATAGTAAGAAGACGACAAGAAATACACACACACACACACACACACACACACACACACACACACACACACACACACACACACACACACACACACACACACACGCATACACACACAAGATAGAGATGTATTGTGGGGGAAAAGCTGGATTACAGTGAAACCATCAGAACCTCTTAAAGAAAAAGACACACATTTACACACACTGTAAAACACACTCTCACATTAGCTCAGACCCCGCTGGTCACCCTTTGGTAATCTTATATTCTAATATATAGAACAGGCAATATATCTCAGCTCATACAATGAATTTACATACAATGTGACTCAATTTATCAATATGACACTTAGACAATATTTCCAGGTCATTTAGGCACAAAGTGACTTTATGTTGCATTAAATATATCTTTATTGGATTTAGTATTGAGGGTGCTGTAATGGAACATGCGTCATCACGTTAGAAAGTACAAAAACACTTAGTAGGATTGCTCTACAAGAAAGAACTGAATCTTCAGTATAGGCCTTCAATGCACAAGTGCTAATTCTAACGTCCTCTAGGGAGACTGAACCATCACTGTTTTGTCGGTACATGACGATGAAAGGTTCACCTGGTAGCTGAATACTAAATTTAAACTATGCCATGTTCAAACTCACTCATAGCTGGTGTAACGCAGTGCTGTTTGTCTGCTTTGAATAACTTTGTTTTTAACATCTGTTGCAGCCCCTCTAATTCAACTTTAATCTTTTATAATGAAGCCCTTTGTGATACCTTTTATGTGGGGACCCATGCGTAGACACATGATCCATCCAAGGACATATTCATTGATTTAGAGGTCTCAAGACTCGCTGGGATCACACATTACTTTGACAAATTACTTTTTCTTTTTTTCCATTTTGTTAATTTTTGAATGTGATAACATTATAAAAAAATAGGACATAAAATCCGCACAAAAAAGCCAAATGTAAAAAATGCATTCACTGTAAAGAACATGTAGTTCCCTATTACCCTTCCAGGACATTGCAGTCTCAAAATACAGGCCTACTCACTGTAAATACAGTCTTAAAAAAGTGGTCTAGGTGGTAGAGCTTTCAGTTATCAGACCCCTCTCCTCTGGAATCATCTGCCTGTCAGGGTATAGGAGGAAGACACCCTATCTACCTCTAAGAGTAGGCTTAAAGGCTTTGGTCAGCGCTTAGTTATGCTGCTATAGGTTTTGACCTCCTGGGGAACTGGCAGATTGAGCACATCTTCTTTCTGTCAGTGTCATTAACTTTGAATCCTTGTTTCCTATTAGAATCACTAATACACAGTCTTTTCTAAGGGTCCCTGGGCTCCATCATGTCATAGGTCCCTCTGGATCGCTGCCGTAGACGTTTTGCTGCTGTGACCTGTCTGCTTTCCAGCTGCTTCAACTACATGCATCAATCTCATCTCTGTCCACCTCTCTCTTTCTGCATCTTTCTTCCTCTATCCCCTCTCAAAACCCAATGCAGATGACTGTCTTACATGACTCTGGTTCTGCTCAAGGTTTCTGCCTGTTGAAAGGAAACGTTTCCTGTCCATGGTAGGCTTCAGTGATATACCTATTTATGTCTAAAGAGGCCTAATGATGCCCAATGATAATATACTGAAAAGTCACCCCCCTGTGATGTGTGTATGAATTGAAAAATGAGCCATGGTACATAAGAAAACTTATTTTTAATCAGGTTGTATTTATGTCTCATTGCTGAAATGGATATTTTAGGATAAGATCTAACAGTCCAAATAAACTCTCCAGGAACAGCAGCTTTTTGCCTCTTGGAGTTGGCTTTATTTTCAACACAGCCATGCCTCTAATTTGCCTAATTATGCAACTCTTGGCATACAGTTGACATGAATTAAGAAATAAAGAATGAAGACCAAAAACCATTTATAAATGTGTTCGACTCTGCTGTAGAAATGAGCATTCAATTTGGACTTAATGGGGTTTCATTGGCTTTAAATGGACAATCAATTTTTTTTTACTTTTTTGGCTCCATTTTTCAAGATTGTCCAGGATGAATTTTAATGTTCTTGAATATTGGAAGATTGAAAGTCCATGTTATGATAGGTAAATCTGAGTGTGAGGGCCATTGCTAGGACCATAAATTATTAAACGTCTTGTGCCAAAGCTTAAGGTGGTTTCTTGGATTGCTGGTGCCCGAATGACCCATGTGGTGTGTGTGTGTTTGTGTGTTACAGGTCACACATTAGCCCGAGGAGCCTGTCTGGTGGGTCTGTCTGGTTAGGGTACCTTGCAGGCATCCCCTAAGCCCAGAGAGGGGCCCTACTCCCTGGGGAGAAAAATTTGACCATCCTCCAATCGCCTATCTGGCAGACGGTGAAGGACTAAAAAGTGATTGGTTGTGGACAGCCCTCTAGAACATTCCTAACAACAACAACAGAAGCGCTGTAAGTGGGAAAACGGCCCTACAGAGGAGCAACAATGAATAAAACATGGAGCTGTGACTCCTATTTGACTCCTTCTTGTTGACATTTTTTTGAATCAAGAAAAAAAAAAAAAGAAAAAGCTCTTCAACGCAGGAATCACGACCTACAAATAGAGCAGACTGGAAGGATTTTCATGCAGCGGATACACTGAACTGATTTTATCTGGAGAGAGAGAATATTTGGAGATGTGTTCGCTTTCAAACTCGGCATCATGGGAGGAAGTGACAGGGAAGGATGGGCAGAGGGGGACATGAAACAAAGTCTGTGGGCCTGAATCAAACCTGCAGGACCCTTAAGTATACGTCTTTACAGTGTATGTGAAAGGCAGTGAGGTGAGCCCTGTCAGAATCAGACACATGTCACTGAGGGGAGAAGGGAGTGTTTACTTATGAGAGTTAGCAATGCTCTCAGTCGGCGCATTTGAGAGTTTATAAAACCATGAGAATGAATGTGAGCTGTTTATACAGAGCAGTTCTAACCATGCTCATTTCAAATGAATAATCAATACCAGGAAAGTCAGAGAACATTTTAGCCCATTGAGTGAGATTGGGAGCCATTTACAGATTTTTAGTGAGACAGAGCTGATTTCAGAAATGCTAAATTGTTTCTTTTTCTTTTCCTTTCTTTCTCTCTTTTTTGTTGCTTTTTAGATGAGACTCATCCTCCAGCTATTTTGACTGAGTCTGTGGGTAATTCCAGCTGGCAAATGATGTTCAGCTGTGCCAATTTCACCACAGTCATCAACACAAACAAAAAGAGTTATAATAAACACTGAAGCAGAACTATGAGAAACATAACAAGTCTTGCATTTTTATGGAAAGAAAACAGTTTTTAACTGTGCTGGAGTTGGGTAAAGTACAGAAAACTTTGTTCAGGCTAAAATATTGTGACAGTACTGAAAAGATTGGTTTTGCATTATTTTCATACATCCATTTGTTCATGGTGTCTAGAGGATGGCTTTCTGAAATTTGACGCTCAAATAAGAAACTTTTGTTTGAGTTGATTTTGGTGACCTCTGTAGTCGAGTTATCACTCCTATAGCTCTGCTTATATTGTCATGTACATATGTTTATCATATAAACATTTTCTGACAGATAGTCTAATTCTTTTTTCATTTAACAGTCAAATGTATTGTCAATTATGAGTATTTGCTTAGGAAAAATTAAAAATGGATTTTTCTTCACCACGCTTTAAACTTCCTGCTCTTACCCCTTCACAGCAGTCACAGGCATCAAAAGTTGCTCTAAGTAAGTTGTCAATTTTTTCATAATAGTCCAGTTTACTTTTATACATCATGAACAGGTTTCATTGTTATTTTCAGTCTGTTTTATTAGCTTTAAGCTTTAAGCAACCCCTGACTTCCCCTCCAATGGCATCTACAGGTAGGTACTAATGCTGCGTTCTAGTTACCTCGCAAGTCGGAGCTGGGAATGACGTTACACCCGAGTTGAAGGCTTTTCAGTAAATAAGTTGGAAAACCAAGATGGACGCATACAGTTACCCGGAGTTAGCTGTTGTTTACAATTGTCAGCTGTTGTTAAACGTTCTCAGTTGTTGTTAGCCGTTGTCAGCAGTTGTTGGTTGTTGTTAGCAATACCAGTTGTAAACAACGCATAACACCATATTTTACTCTTACAAACACCATAGCCCCGTGTTCACAGGTAGTTGTTGGGCAGTACAACGTATACCACTTATTAAATTTCACATAAACAAAACAGAAATGCAAATAAATATTACATTACAAGAGCTTTCATTGTTACTGTTAATGCACTGTGCTGCCATCTTGGAATATGACGTTGTCGTCAAGTCAGAGCTGGTGAGGATCATCCGACTTTCCAAGTTGGAAATCCAGTTGGGCCGTTTCAGATTAATTTTCGACTTGGAGCTTGGAAATTCTAACTTCTGAGTAAAACTAGAACGCAGCATTAGGCCCTGTTCACAGCTGGTTTGAGTGTGTTCTTTATCGCAGGTGGACATCTTCAGGTTTAGTATAAACATACCCAAGCATGTGAAAACCATTACTTTAATATGTTTATAGGGCAACAGTAAGGATATGAGTTGACAGACAGGTGATCTTGCTGGAGCTGTGTATGACGAGCATATTTAAAAACATCTTGTAAGGTCTTGGCTAATAGAGATGACTGAGGCTATTCATCTATTTGCATTTAGTCAGGACAGTGAGTCCAGGCCAGAAGGTGTTCTTCAGGTTTCATTTTGATGCCAGGTATTAATCACAGCAGTTCACTTCTGATTGAAGAGGACAGAAACTGGGCCTTCCACTCAAAGTCAGAATTGGATATCAGCATTTCGCTCCAGGGACCATGCTGACCCTGATAGCATGGCTTTAGACAGTAATCCTGTTAAAAAGGAATTTCTATTAAAGCAATGGGAAACTAATATTCAAGAGCATGACACAACCATAGAACTTTTCCAAAGACCATTCAGTATGAAACAAAGTAGGGCTTCCTTCTCCTTAGAAACTATGACTGACATCTACTTGACATTGTATTAGCAGCACTAAGAGTAAAGGCTTATCTAATAGTGTAGAGTAGAAAAACTCAACAACACACAAGTAAACTTTGGCAACATCTTATGGGTTGATTCAAACACAGTCACATTATTACCAACAGTACAGCTTCCTTTATATCTTCAGTGAGATGCAGATGGGGAAGTTCTTAGCAAACAATCAGCAAAGCATGTTGGAACATATGTTCAAACATTCATATATGTGAACACATTCATCTACAGAGGCGTGACAAAATGAGATGCTAATATAAGACTCTAAAACATTTTGCAAACACACACTGGCACATCAGCTTGCACTCCCTTTGGGTCTCACAAACAGCTCCTGCACATGCTGCACATTAGTCGACGGGTCTCACGATTACAGGAGTTCACACCGGTTGAATGGGTGGTAATCATGCATGTTGCAAAGTGTTTTTCATCATCATGAACCCTCTGTTACTTGCACGGCACACATCTGCCGAGCCTGAAAGAACAAATGGCTGCATCTGAAACATTCGATCAGACACGCACGCTTACAGACACACATGCACGCACACACATCCAGGGATTCAAAGCATGGCCCTGTGATATTTACTCCTCAGAGACAAGCTCATTTACAACTAGAGCCGAGCAGCTTTAAACCATCTCTCAAACAGTTCATGATCATCTAAATATTGAGACAAGTGTGAGAGGAGGGCAACTGCACAGTAGCACTGATGGATGAAGCTCAGAGAATCCCTCTTACTTGTATTTGATTAAGACAAACACACACACAAACATGCAGTTTCTGAGTGGTCCTTTCACGTGTGATAAATCCACAACAACCAAATGCAAAGGAAGTGATGACTTGATTATAGCTGACACCAGCGAGTGTTGCTTTGATCGAATGATGGAGAAGCAAAGTGTGCTTGATGAAATTTAGCTCAAGCGTCCATTTATCTTCTCCAATTTAGCAGCAGCTATCAGGGAGGCTTTCGCACCTCCATCAGAGATGCCAGTTAACCAAATTAATTAATGCTGCAGAGGCCGAGGCAATGTTTTTCACTGAACAAGTTAGTGAAGTTCACTGTGTGTGTAAGGCGTGCATGTGTGTTTCTCCTTAATGAAGAATCTATTATACCTGGAGAGTTATAATAATAGGATGAGATCTGTTGCCCTTGTTTTTATCACAGACCTCTGAGTTACAGAGGATCAGACTCAAGGTTAATGAAAGACTATTAATGCATCTGCGAACATTTCAAAATTTAAAAGTAGTTTTTCTCTTCATGTACCCCTCTACAGTTTTGCTTTCATTTACTAATAGACCATATAACTATGTCCTCTGTTCATCTGAATTCAGAGGGGAGAATCTCTGAGAAGATCAAAATGTTAAAATGCTAATATAACTCACCTTTAACTTCGCTTTTTTGTCAGTATGCTTGCAGCATTTAAGCTTTTTAATTAGAAGCAATAATTCTCAGACCTGTTATCCTCTGGATTTTCCCTCTCAGGCAACATGAGCTGGTTTACACACTTACTGCAAGAGAGACATCACTCAGAGCTGTAAAAGTTCCTGGCTATAACAGCAATATTACTGTCTTTGTCAGCTTGTAAATACTGGAACTGCTCCTTGGTCATCTGAGAGTCCTGTTTATACAGTTCAAGGAACATCTGGAGCTCTCTTGGAAAAGATGGATGAATATCCCATATTCCCTCTGCAGCAGTATTAAGGAGTGAACCCAGTACTGGTGCGGTTATTAATGTTGTCTCCACAGGTAGAGCACGGCCATAGCAATACTCCCATGGCAGGATTAAAGCTGCTGAACGTGCCATTCTAGATATTAGGCACATAGATGATTTTATCAACAACATATTTCTAAATAAGCACTGGATGTTTTGGTGTCATTAATGGTCATGTACTAGTGGTGGGGAAGGTCTAATAAAAATAAAAGACTTGTTCTGATTGCATTTCCATGAAGAAATGATCATAAATGTTCTTCCTTGAGCTGCGTCACCCCGCTGCAGTCTGTAATGGATTGGCCTGAGGTCTCGCTACAAACAAGTGGCTGCTGGATGAGAGTAGGTGAGTTGTGTTTAGTCTCTTTGCTGAAGAAATTAGTCAAAGTTAAAAAGATGTTTGGTGGCTAATACTATGGCTGGGACCCTTTATGTACTGTTGATGAAGTTATGTGCTGTTCTGAGCATTATTTGTGGCTATAGAGTGGTGTTTTGGTTGAGGTTTGTTTATGTCTCCTCAGACCACTGTGTATTGCTATCTCGTGGTCGTTACTAAAGTTGGTATAACTAGAGAAGCAAGCGGTCAGCAACATTCATCTCTCGAGGGGGTGTCTAACTCAGTGTTATAGTGTGTTTGACCCTAAATTAATTTTACACCGGAATATCTCTTTAAGGGTGTTTTTTTTTTTTTTTAAATCTATATAAATATAATTTTTAGAAAATAAAATATTTTTCATATTTAGTGTCAGTCTTTCAATGACTTAATTTAGATGCCAGGTCATAAACAGGATAACACAAGGTAAACAGGTCAAAAATAGGCGAATGACATTTTGGATCATTTTGACAGAATCTTACTCTAATGGAAACAAATGTGGTATTTTAAATTTTGAATTGGATTTTAATTTCTTTAGTTTTTCATGATCCAAGAACCAAAAATTCTGATAAAATTCCAAAACAGTTGGTGGATCCTCTGATTGAGATCCACTCCAGAGGAGTTTTCCACAGGGACATCAAGATGGACAACATCCTGGTGGAGTGTGGCTCTGCTGTCCCCCCTGTACGAGTCATCAACTTTGGCCTAAGCACTTTTTTTACTGAGGGGACGTACCGTTCAAGTCAAGGTATGCTGTCTCTCAATGAAGAGTCCTTTAAGGGCTTTCCACAAACATGGGGAGTAGTCAAACAGCGGGAAAAGTAGACCTCTTACAGCCTTTGTATCTTCTAACACATGGCAATGCATAAAGGAGTCATGGCCTGCTACAGATGCCACATGTGTAAGCTCTTTACAAATATCTAAGAGGTTTTTGAAGTGCTGCTGTTAGCACTCTGTAGACTGCATCTCCCAGTATAAGTTCACTATTTGTGCTTGTGTGCACTTATGGTTCATGTGCAGTGAAAAATGCTGTGACTCAGTAAATGAAAACACCTAAATTCCCAGTTGCCCAAGTTTTAGGACTTACAGTCTATATGAACCCTCTGCTCCCTCTCATCAGTTGTTGTATGAATTGAATTTGAGGCTTGAAAACTAGTCAATCTAAGTTTCTCAGTTGTCGCTTTTTAGGCCAACAGCCAGTCTATGTGGAAGTCATGTTCTCTTTTTAAACCAACCAAACATAATTGCTGTCTCAGTCCACAACATCTGTCCTTCATCTCCTATCTGTCCGTGTGTGTGTGTGTTTTGAAGGAACCCTTTTGTGCACTTCTCCTGAGTGGTTCAGGACCAAGAGCTACAGAGCTGAACAGCTACAGTGAGGCAGCTCGCTATAGTGCTTTACACCTTCATGAACAATATTCTTTGAATGAGACAGATGAAATTGTCTTTAAAGAGCTTAAAGAGACCCATATAGTATAAAATCAAGCATAGTTAGATTCACAGTGAGTTAAGTGTTTTTATCCTACCACTGACTATTTCTGCTTTGTCGATGACTTTCAGGATTTTGATTGAGAGTCAACGTTTTATCGTTCATCAAATTGCTCTAAAAGTGATTCAGTGATGAATAGATACCAGAACAGTCCCTAATTAGTGAATTGATCTCAGTTGTGGGCCTAGCCTGAGGCTAACAGGTTGCCATGACAACTTAAGCTGTTTGCCCATGATGATGGGCGTGGTGCAGTCAAAACGTCTAAAAGAAGAGTGATTTTTGCCTCAGTGCTGGTCTTATATTTGGGCTTATTCTGACAAAACGGTCACTCCTTTTAGAAAAAAAAGCAGACCATGGTCATCATAAGGACTTCCTGAATGCTTTGATATGATTTTGGTGTTTCCACAGTAAACAGTTTGGACATACTAGCAAGTTATAAACAGGAGTCCCTTCTGCTTCTCTCAAAATCTTTGTATCAGCATCAAGGAGGAGCAGCCAGACATTGTCGTACTTAGAAGCTCAGTGTTTAAATTCTGTAAGTCCCTCTGCTAAGATAAACACACACTGTTAGAGACAGAACAAGTGTGTCTACAACTGTGATTAAAAAAACACACATGTAGAGTGTAATTTCTGGCCATAAGGAGTGTGGAGAAAAGATGTTTAAAAAGTGTGGTAGATGTTTAAAAAAACTTTAATAATTGCTCTTATTTTGGCTTGTCCCATTGACCTCAATGTGAAAAATTCAAATACAATAGAGAAAAGTAATAGCACACTGATCCCAATCAAACCGCAGGTACTGGTATATAATTTGTCCTACAAGTCTAAAAGCTGTGGGACTTTCAGTGAATCGAAATTTGTCCAGAAGAGGAAAAAGAAAAGATCCACTGTATAACCATAGTGCCTCGGGGTAAAGCCCTGTGGCCCTAATTAAGCCTTGTGCCTTCATGATCTTGTTTGAAAACTTTGAAGGTCTATGTGAACAAGCTACTTCTATATATCTGTGATGTATTTGGGGGCAGATATTTTGACTGTAATACTGTGAATATGATCCTTTGTGTTCATGATAATAAGTTGTGATGGTAATTTTCATGTCATGGCTGCAGCCTAAATTTGCCTCATAGCCATTAGACCTTGTTGAATACCAAATATCACTGGGCAGAATCCGAGACGACAGCCTGTTGTTCCTCTATTCTCCATGAGGAAACAGTGGATTGTATTTTTGTGGAGCCACAGCAGAGTCATGCAAAATCAGTTCCATTTTGTGAAGAGACTGGTTCATCGACTTAGCCCATAAAACTCAGGTCTTAGCCAAATGGCTTCATCTGGCACCAATAGCCATGGCCCACCTTCCCAAACTCCATCTCCAGTCTTCACACAATGCTCATGTCCAGAACACAGAGAAATTAAAGTAATATTTTGAAGTGTTGTGTTCAAAATATGAATGATTTAGTGATTCAGTGATTTGGTGAATGACTCTTTTGAATTAATCTTTTTAGTGCACTGATTCGAGTGGTTCAGTACATCTAAAAGAGCTGCCATGCCCATCACTAGTTCCCCAGTCCTCCATTTGTCAAAATTTTAAGCTTCGACTGCTGCATTTCACACAGAAACTTAAAAAACACAACAACACCTGTGTAACTAGTTTGTTTGTTTCATGCCACTGTCAAAACATGGCAGCAAGACAGCTGCCTCCAAAGAGGGGAAATGCTCCCTAAAAGGCTTGTTTGAAATTATCATATGTACGTCTGACTTGACTACAGAGCCACAGCCATCCAACATATTGTGGGTTAGCTTTAGTACATCTGTAACAATGGGGAGAGTAAACCTGGTATCTTATTTTGACCCCCTGTTTTTGTTGAAGAACGTCTGACTTCATGTTGCTCGCTCCACTTTGAAACCCAAACCCACACTTTTGTTCACTGCCTCAGTGTGCAGCAGCATGAAGCCTTCCAAGTGTTGTTGTCCATCTCATTAAAGCACACATGCTCTTCTTCCACACGGCAAACACACACCTCTTTAATCTGCCCACAGGAGCCTCCCTGCCCAAATCTACACACAAACACACACCCTCGCAGACACACAAATATGAGTACCTCGACAACTACAAGCACTCATACCCTGAGTGGCAGATGGTTAATTGCGAGCACACGGCTAAACATGCAACCTGACTTAAATCCCACAATGCCTCTGAAACAATTACAGGTATTCAGTTGAGCATAGAGCACCAACATCTATCACACACTCTCACTAACAAACACACACATACAGACACACACTCACACACAGGCACAACTTAATCCATGCTATTGGCACAAGAGTCTTGGAGCAGCTGCCTTGTTACACACGGTGAAGAGGGCATCATCTGGCTTCTGAGAAAAGCCTGTCAGTTATCACACATTGGGACAGATGTACAATCCTGTGCACGCACACACACACACACTGCCACCTCCACAAACTCTTACAGTTACACACGTCACACAATTAATAATGGAGTAAGCCGCACAGATTGGGTGGAGGTGATCTGACGGCCCATCCTCTCTCTTCTCTCTTAGTAACAAACACTCGAGTTCCCCTGCAAAGAATCCGGCCTCATGAATTCTTAACTCTGCCTCTATCAATAAACAAAAAGAGCAATAAATAAAACACAAAGTTAGTTACAGCAAAACAACAGGCCAGCGAGCAGGCGGGCAGGCAAATGTCCCCCTTTGTCTGTGTGTTTTTGTCTCTGCCTGAGATTTCCTGCACAACAATGCTTGCTATAATAATCTGGAGACATTGTTGATTATAGACAGGGTGTAGGGATTTAAGGGGAGATTTACAGGAGAAAACATTGGGAAGGCAGGCTTGAAGGAGACAAAGGCAGTGTGGAGGACAGTGGATTCCTCTTTGCTGGAGCATATGGAGAGATGTGCTGCACCAATAGGATTTTCTCAGTGGAGTCCAAGGTACTGGGATTTGGGAAACAGGATTAGCTGCTGTGTAATAATGTGGATGTGATGGGGGGCAGCATGCTCAGAAGAGGCAGCCCATGTGGTGTGTGTTTGTGTGTGTGTATGCGCGTACGATGGGGGGTTGAAGAGTGCAGTCAAAGGGATTAAGAAGGTCCCAAGAATGAGATCTTCTTCTTCTTCTTCACTCTTTCTCTGAGTTAAAAATGCAACCGTCCTAATTTAAGGGCCGAGCGCTGTAATGAAACATGAATGAGGCGCGCTGGATTTGCACACGTGGGACTTTGCTCCCTAAATGTTCAGCATTCATACATACAAACAAAAACAAAGTCACAAACAGGCATAGCTGCATGAGGAGAAGACAAAAGCAACATTTTTAGGGAACCTGTCTTTACTGTTTACTTATTCAGCACATTAACAAGTTTTCAACTCAACTTAAGAACATGTGAAACACAAACCAGACCTCCTTATCAGTTCTGGACTATATAAGCAACTACTTGGACACCAAGACTAGGCTCACTGTACTCTGATATGACCATGATGCAGTCTCCTGGAGTGATACTTCATTTGGGGGTCTTCTATGCAAACAGCAGTGGCAAATTTGAGGCTTGGGCTTTAATTTCATTGTGCTTGTTGTTTTCAAAAGCTGAATAGCAACTAAATAAAAAAAATAAATAAAGAGAATTTGTAGCAAAAGAAGAAAAAAAAAAGTTTGGATTTGTGCAGGAGGGGAATAAAACACGAGAGTGGTTGTAGAAGGACCTTCCAAGAAAAAATGATCAGACAAAAAGGACGATTTCTGTCATACAATAAAAGATGAACATAAAAAGAGAAAACTAATGAATATTAAAATAAGATACAATAAACATAATAGCCAAAAGCAGTTCAAGAAAAACAAAAAACAGGACAAATATTTGCTGTGAGCTCAGACTCTGCTGCAAATAACTGAGAATCAGTTTCGACTAATATAGCAGTTTCTGGGACTATTAGAAATACCGTTGATAATTATGTTTTGATAGTCAGGTGAGGGATTTCAGTGCCATGAACCAAGTTAACACAGCCTCGCTCTTAAAAAAGCAGTGTAAAATTAGATGAGATTCTGGGGAACTGGGTACTTGATTATTTACACAAACAAACCCCAGTAGCCATCATGTAGAAGTCTCGTTCTTTGTTGCTGCACAAATTAGCAAATCTGGTACACTATTATTTGCTAAATACAAGATATTTTTTCATCAAACCTGACAAGTGGTTTAAAAAAATCTCACAATTCTTACTCTCAGGTGAAAAGATGTTCAAGGTTTTTGTTGGTGCTTGTTCTTACTGTGTTCAAGTGAGGGAGTGACGTTTAAGCATAGATAAGAAGTGGACAACAAGATTAACAGCTTCACTAAATGTAGATGTCTGTTTATACTGATTAATAAAAGCTTATTTATTATCAGACAGTAACAAGTGGATTGAAGCTCACCTAATGTGCTTAGCCTCTTGTGCTCTCCTGTATTTCCTTCACACAAAAACAGCTCACTGAAACAGGAGTGGAAGATACGATTTGGACTTCAAATAAAAAACACACTGCTCCTTAAACCAAACGTCTTGTCCTTAGCTGAACCTGCAGTATAAAGGGGTGGTGGCAGTGGCTCAGGCTGAAAAAAGGGACCATAAGTTGCATTTAACCAGGAGGGCAGTGTTTTAAGTCCTGCTGCAGACTATGTTTGAAAATTTGGCCGGTTGCTGCTGGAGTCCTAAGCGCTGCAAGGGACCTCCAAGCAAAACACTGAAGCCTCAGCTCATCCATACACAGCCCCCTTTCTCTAACATCTCCTATAACTCCATTAATGCATGTCTAGAGGAACTATGCTGGGTTATGAGTATGTAAATTTGACAGAATTAAAAAATCTTTTTACACAGATAAGATTTTGACATAGATGACATTCAGCTCTGAATTAAAGATAAATACCCCATTAAAAACAATGGCACTGACAGAAACACACAGATTTAACAGTCAAAGTTTCAATTTAACTTTTATCAACTAAAAACTGTGTTCTCAACTCTTCATCAAATGTCAATAAAATCATCATCTACAAGCAGAGACCAAGCCTTGAAAATCAGAAAGTTGAAAATACTCTAGAAAGTGTTTCCAAAAAGAACAAACTTGTCATGTACTCAATGAGAAACATCACTTCACAGAGCAAAAGTGTCCTCCGTTGACGCCCTGCCTCTGTCGAGTATATCTACTTGAAAGTTTGACAAACTGTGAAATAATGGAGAAAAGTGTCTGCCAATATGAAGAATGCATACCTCTGGTTCTGCTGCATCAATATTAATCCTTTTCATTTATTCGTGTGCCTGTCATGAGTGGTATAATAGTGGCAGATTTGTTTTTTGAAAACTCTAAAAACCCTAATTCAACTGGAAACGTGATAAATTATGGAAGTAATACACTGCCAACATGCTGCTTCTCTGTTGACTGTGAGTGCACTTAAAGCTTATTAGTGACTTTAAGAGAGATAAGGAGTTGAGTCTTTAACAGACACTTGAGAACTCTTTGAATACATTAAATCGATGACTTGGGACGTCCTATCTTGCGTAGAGAGGTCTGTGTAGAGCATTTCCGTCACCAAGTGGTGGAGAATCGTCAGAAGTCACATGTTTGTTAACACTATTTATGAAGCCGAGTCAAAAATTTATGTAGTTCAAAAAAGTTTTTTTAGTTTGTCAGAGGAGATGCCTCATGAAATTCTGATCCAGATATGTTCTCCAGACTATAATCACTGACTTTTTCATAGTTTTTTGATCTCTTATGTGATCAAACTGAGAAACTTTATGAGTACTGTTTTAAGATTTTAGAGAATAATCAAATGCGACACGTCTGGCTCCTGATCTTGAAATATACTATATTTTATTCCGCACTGAAACAACCTAATAAAAACTACCATGTCTTAATATTTTCATCTTAAAAAATCAGTTTACTCCCGGTCTCTCTGTCCTTTCATATTGCTGTTTACTATCCCCTCTGCATTAATAAAGTAAAAGAAGCAGGGAAGATGGATTCTCATATTACAACAATATTTTCACCTCAAGATACTCGCAGCTAAACAGAAACAGGCAGAGGGAAAATAAAACCAGATGAATAGTGAGGAACAAATAAAGACATGTCAGATTACATTACTGTGCTCGACACAATAGTAAGGCGGTTGTCTCTGGATCCACTCTACCTCTGTCTTCATCTGTGCTTCATTGAATGTCACTGCAGATGGAGAAACAAAGATTTTTCTTCTGATGGAGGAATTGTCTGAGCCGAAGGACCGCAGAGCTGCACCGCCACCACCGCCTTGTTGAACACAGATGGGGAGTGACAGGTTTTAGGAAGTGAAGGGCTCTCAGTTGCTGTTTACAGGCCTGACCTCTGATCGGTCATTTCACATCTACTCTATGTTGACTGGACCAACCTGCTCCTGCACCGGATTGCATTTGGTTTAGGTCAGTCTTCTGCACAGTCTAAAATACTTGTTCCAGTTATTTAAATGTGTTTTATTCATTAGTTTATTAGTAAGTTGGGAATTTAAATGGGGCTTTTTATTTATTCATGACCTTATTTGTAGACAATTTAAACCTTTAAAGTCAGTCACAGCCATAGACTGTATATAGAATGGACAGCGTCTGCCTCCTCTCTGGGTGAAGCCACTCTGAGAACAGCACCCTCTGGTGACGGGCTGCAGTATAGGTCATAAATTCCGCCTCGTCCAGGAAAGCTTATGGGGCTGTGGACAAACTTTAGAAATTTATTAGAGAGCATACATTTTTCTCCTCCCTGCTTGTGATGTTGACATGTAGTTACAGTAAGACTGGTTTGTGCTCAAGTCCTTTTTTCTGTACAGCTCCGTTTTTACAAGTTATTAGAGGGTTCATGTTTTCTGTGATTGACACTTGATACAGCCTATGGGCATACAAAGATTGTGTAGCTTACCTGGGGTATACACTGTTTGAGCTGAGCGTCATCGCAGCGACTTTCAGCGACTCTCCCGCTGAATGTGTACAACACTACTGCGCAAGTGCTTACAACGCTACTGCGTAATCTTGGTTTCAGAAAGTGGAGAAAAAAACCTGGAAATACTGAGAGCTTTTCGACTTCAAATCCGTATACAGGCAAAAGGCGGAACCAAGTTGTTCATAGTATATACAGTCTATGGTCACAGCAGATTACCTGAACAAAGTGTGTCCAAAGATGTGTGCTTCCTGTTTTTACTTAAACTTTAAAGCTTCTGTGAGGAGATCTTTGACATTTATGAAATACACTAAAATTCGTATTGATGATGGTTTTATCATATATAAAATATGGCCCCCCAAAAGTCAAATGATGAGGAAGCAAGACAAGGAAAGCAAACTCTGCTCTGTCCATGAGAAGTGCTGAAACTGACACGAAATTAAAGTTCCTCATGGGAGCTTTAATTACTTCATAGTCCACCTAAAAATTTAAGTGAGTGTCAGACCAAATCTTTACAGACACATGACTTAAAGTGTTTCTCTGGCAAGTCATAGTTTATGATTAAAGAGTGTCTGGCCAATCAGATTTCAAGGAGGGCCCATGACATCCCTGAGGATCCTTCCCTGAGGATCCTTCCCTGAGGATCCACCCCCGAGGATTCACCCTTGTGAATCAACCTCTGAGTGCAGCAGAAAAACTCCCTATGATTCAGTGTTTTGAAAGCGAGGTGATATACCTTCTGTTTATAAATAACCAGCGAGTTATCTCATTGCTCATTCCCTTTGGCAGAAATTAGAACAAGGTCACTGTGTGTATGATGATTGTGTTTTCTGTGCTGTGTGCAGCCCTTGAAAATCCAGCCTGGTACATAACAAATACACAGAGGATTTTATTCCTCTGTCTGAAGAATGGATGTCCTAATATAATACAATACAACACATATTGTTTTGTATTAATCATTGTTGCTTCCAAATGATTTTTGGCAGTCTAATTATTCCGTCTTTCCAACTGTCTTAGTTAAAGTGTCAACAACAAAAGAAAAAGCTCCATCTTGACAGCATTTAATCAGACTTGGCAAGTTGAGCAGGAAGAGAAGTCATCACTTGACAGAAAACTTAATTCCCCCTCTCCAAACCAGCAGGACACCTGTGCTGATTTGGCTGAATTGGTTTGTAACACACCCTGCTGCTGACCTGGAGAGCAGAACTCTCCCATCAGGCCCATAACCAGACCAGCTACAGGGACTAACTACCCAGAAGGCTTCAACAGTCAGTCATCTCTGTCCTACTTTTCCTCTTTTCATCCTCCTCCTCCTCTCATATCTTCCCACCCTCCAACTCTATCCATCCCTCTCTTTCACTCCTCTATAACGGAGAGGAAAAAGCAGCACTGCTGTGATTGCTCCAAAGTGGCATCGATAAAAAGAAAGCACGGCTTTCTGTCGGTATCCGGGAAAATTGAGCCAAAGAAATAAAACTTTCCTGACTGGTTTGGATCACGATATCAAAATTAAAATCTCACCACTGAAAGCAGAGACATTTATTTAGTTACCCTGGACATTTTCTGAATTTACATTTCATATGTGCAGTATTTGAATATGCAAAACGAAAAGAAGTCTAAACACGAGCAAAAGATAGTGAGAAGGCATTTAAAACAGCTCCTACTAAAGCCAACAGATTTCTTGTTGAACATGCTGTAAAAGCAAACAAGCTTCGTCCTTTTCATTTCCTCCTCTCACTCACTGCAATCACTGTGGACAAACTACACTACACAAAAAGTTAAAATCCAGGGAAGATCAGAGAGTTTTGCACAGACCTCAGAGTTATGAAACTTGCACTTGGAGGACATTAAGCTCTTGTGAGGAACTTTTGGTTATCGATTTTGGCGCCCCCTGTGGTCAAAGTGATCCCTCTTAAATGTTGACCTGTACATATGAAAGTAGTGTTTTCGGATATAAACCTCATTTCCTTGTCTTTCACAGTGAAATCTATCACTCACTGGAAATATTTGCTGTGTAGAAGTAAAAAACAAATATTTGTTCAGCCTGCTGTCAATCAACTGTTCTGACACCTACCCCCCTCATAGTGGTTCAAGCATAGACTGTTTATAGAATGGATGACGTCTGCCTTCTCGCTGGGTGAAGCCACCGTGAGGAGCCAGGAGAATTAAACAGAATATACATTTTTCTCCCCCCTGGTTGCGATGTTGACATGTAGTTACAGTAAGACTGGTTTGTGCTCAAGTCCTCTTTTTTCTGTACAACTCCATTTTTAAAAGTTATTAGGGGGTTCAAGTTTTCTATAATTGACACTTGATACAGCCTATGGGCGTACGATGATTGCGCAGCTCACCTGGGGATGCGCTGTTTGAGCCGAACGTCATCACAGCGACTCTTGGCAACTGTCTCGCCAAATGCGTACAATGCTACAGTGCAAGTGGTGGAGTGCTACTGCGCAGTGTTGGTTTCAGAAAGTGGAGAAAAGCTTTTTGGCTTCAAATATACATGCTGGTGGCAGGTGGAACCAACTTGTCCATCGTATATACAGTCTATGGGTTTGAGTCTGAAAAAATCACAACAGAGACATCAGGAGCCTTGTTGCTGATATTCTTATTTGATTTTGAAGGTTGAAAATGGGCAGTGTTAAGTGCCTTTGAGCACTTTCTAAATACAAGCACTCTGGCACTTTGAAGGGAAGGTTTGGTTTCTCTGAGGTGGGCTTGTGTTACGTACTTGTCAAAAGTAAGTATAGTACTTAGAGAGCAAAGACTAGGCTATCAACACCTAAAGACAGGGTCAGCTCCACTATGAAATTTAGATAATTTGAACAAACCCCGACTTGACCCCCTGTTCTCAATGTAAGTGCACCCTGTGCACTGAAAATTATAAACGCTTTATTTTGCCGTCAGACAGCCCATTCATTTTTCCACTATTCCCAGTATTGACAGTGGACATAATTCAAGACACAGTAAAATTCCCCATCAATACACACCTGACAGAACCAATTTCAGGTATATAAATATGGTTTGATGGACATTGGATTGAATGCCAAAGTTTGGCTGCAACAACTTTTTCCATGCAATAAGGAGTAATTATAGAGACAACATTTCAGCTGCACTCACAATTCCCTACACCTTTAAATAAAGTAGTAGCAATGTCCAAAACTTTCTAAATCGCAACAGTGTGGAAAGTTTGGAGCAGCAGTGGAAACAAGGTAGTAACAGCTGAATTTAAAAAGTTGCAAAAGTTTGACCGTAGAATCCAAGTTTTAAAAAACTGAAACTATATTTTAAGAGTGTTGGCAGAAGACCGCTCACACAATAAGAAAGGAAGAAACAGGGACTGAAACACAGCCAGACAGACAAACACTGGGCTGGACAACAGAACAGACCAATAGAGAATGGGGCAGCATGTGCAAAAACAGACAGAAACACAGAGAGTGACAGACATTAACAGATAGAGAGAAAAAGAGTGATAGAAGGAGGAATAGAGGAATGGGGGGAAAATGGTGGCGAGCTCCCCGGGCTGTGAACCTGCCATGTGTGGAGGCATGCTGCACCATCTGTGTCGAGACTGTTTACTCCACACACCGCTGCTGCAGACACCCTGCAGGTACACACCCAGCACCACCTTCTGTAGGACATCACAGGGCAAGGGGTGGGAAGCAGCAAAGAAAACAACAACAAGGAAAACAGCAACTAAGCTAAAACAGGGACAGAAGTCAGGGAAGGGTCAGACCACACACCGAAAACCAAACAAAAATGCAAAACTGACAATCAGAAAGTAAGCTGAATGAAGAAGAGTAAACAGGAAGCAGTAAATGTCGTGTGATCTTATGTGTCACTGTGAGAAATGCTGTTTGATTTCCAGTTTTGAGAATCGGGACATGATCACTGGTGAATGATATCTGTTGGTACAAAACCATTAAATACATCATTACTTGTCACTATGTGTAGGGTCACTCATATTGTCAACCTCTGTTAGTTTATAAGTCTTTTAAGGGTTAAACTTATAGTATGGTATGCTAGCTGTCATGATATGTTCTGTTTGAGTTAGTTTTTCCCTGGAGTGTATTTTCCTTGTTATTTTCCCTAGTGTTTCTGTTCCCTAGTGTTTCTGTTCCCTAGTGTTTCTGTTCCCTATTGTTCCTGTTCCTCTGTAATCCTGTCTCGTGAGTTTTCAGTTTGTGTCTGACCCCGGTTCCCTCATGTTCTCAGTGTTTTATTGCTTATATTAGTTTATAGTGTTTTCCTGTTTCATTTTGAAGTAGTTTATTCCCTGTGTTTCTAGTCTTGTTTTACTTCCTCAGTTTTCCCTCCTTTGTAATTTTCTGCACCTGTGTCTCAGTGTCTCACCTGCCTCTCGTTG